TTAAAGGGAAAAATAAACAAGGGTGTCCAGAAGGAGAAACAAGGTGTGCAGAAATCACTTCCCTACATTAATGGTAAATTTAAGGTTTTAGTTTGCTATAAAGTTCTGAATTGTTTCGAAGATTGAAAAGGAGGACATACTGTCAAGGTTTCTACTGGAGAATGTGAAGAATCCAGAGGAAATGAATGACAAACATATGAGGGATATAATACTGACTTTTATGTTTGCTGGCAAAGACACCAGTGCAACTACACTGTCATGGTTGTTCTACATGCTCAGCAAGAACCCTCTAATACAAGAAAAAGTTGTACAAGAAGTGAGGGACGTCGTTGGTAATCAGGTAGGTGAAGCGAAAGTTGATGAATTCGTGGAAAACATAACTGAAGAAACTTTAGAACGAATGCACTATCTTAACGCGGCGCTGACAGAGACCTTAAGGATCTACCCTGCAGTTCCAATAGTATGTATATACTCGAATAATCTGATTTTAATTTTCCTCGTCATATTTTTTTAATAAGATACTTGTTATTTTCTTTACTTTATATGGTAGTTTGTGAGTTTCTAAACAGGACAGTGCCAAAACCTTGATTAAAGTCTGTTAAATATATCAAAACCAATACAAGAAAGTCATTATTCCACAAGGAAACTTAGAACACTGTTTGTCTTAAGGAGTTATTGCTGCTTACTTTGCAAAACACATACTGGCACATGTGCATAAGTAGTTTGTGCACACGTGTGTAACTATATTTAGTCTGCATAGATGAACGAGTCCTTGGCACATAAGGAACCAAGTCTCTTAAGGAAATTTAACCTTGTCTATTACTAAGGGAGAAATAGGTAGTGAACTTCAACTCTTTAAGTTGGAAGAATTCTTCATATTACTGTAAATATTGACATCTTTATGTCTTGGTTTTCTGTAATGATGGGAGATGTGCAGATGCAGATGACATTCTTCCAGATGGCTTTAGAGTGAGAAAAGGAGACAACGTAAACTACATCACCTATGCCATGGGAAGAATGCCTTATATCTGGGGAAAAGATGCTGATGATTTCCAACCTGAAAGATGGCTTGAAAATGGAATTTTCAAGCCCGAATCACCCTTCAAATTAGTCGCATTTCACGTTAGTAGAAATATTTTCAAATTCGTCACATTTCACGTTAGTAAAAATATTTTCTTTTTCCTTAATCACAAATATATATATGCTAATTATCCAAATGTTCACCAATAGTAGTTTCACTTTCATTTGTGCTATTTGCAGGCAGGTCCGCAAATCTGTCTAGGGAAGGACTTTGCTTACCGGCAGATGAAGATAGTAGCGATGGCTCTCCTTAGCTTCTTTCGCTTCAAATTGGCCGATGAAACAAAGATGGTAACTTATAGGACCATGTTCACCCTTCAAATATATAGATGGCAGTCTCCCTATGATTGCAGTTCCCAGAACAACCTAAGTAATTTCTTCTATGCATTGAAAAATAATGTTCAAGGTTTATCAACCATGCAAGTGTGAACTTTACATATATTTCCTATATACACGTATGCACATGTAAATGATCATGACTTTCAGGTTTTTCCTGTTTACAGTTCGAAATAGTAGATCAAGGTCCCTATTTTATTGCAAGATATATACATAATGTTGAGACGGCTACACGCATAATATAACTAACCACATTCTTTTTTTGTCAACATAATATTCTGTATCCTTCAGATGTATTAAATAACTTGTGTACAAGATATGTTTTTGGTTTCAGAAATTTGTACCAATGTGGTTTCGATTGGAATTTCTGGGCTCTTCGAATCCAACGTTTCCAGGTGAGAAAGTCGCTTAAATTTCGATTTTTATTGAACTCAGTTAAGCTTCTTCAGTATTTCATATTGATTTGAAGGAGTTTTTTGCCCAGAAAAGCTAGGGTTTTCTGGTAAGTTTTTCGAGTCTTACATCTTGGGGGTTTTGTTTTGTTCAAATATGGGGTTTTGTGATTTTGGATTTACAAATGGATTGAAATTTCCTTTTTTTTAATTTCACCTCCCACTCAGAACTTGATACTTGGTGATCTTTAGAGCAGCTTCATGCTCTCTTCTTCTCCAACCATGGTTGCTGATCCACAGGGCATCAAGGTGAGTTTGAAATTGGCCATATTTTTTAGCTTTGTCGTTGCATCTAATTTATTTTTTTGGATTGGTGGTTTTCAATTTAGGGATGAATATTGTGTTTAAAGCACAAGTCGTTCTGGCCTTTTCGTTTATAATGAACAAACAAGCTTGCTTATTTAAGAGCCAAACTGTTTAAGTTGCTGAAAGTGTTAACCCAGTGGTGTTAAAAAGGTCTTCCATTATAATTCCCGCCTGATTAGTCTTATTCCATCTTGAGATTGGATGTCCTGTGTTGGTAATGTCCATGAGATTGAGTCAAAATCTCCACCATTTCAAATGATTTCCCATGTAAATATTGAGAAGAAAAGAAAACAAGTTTGAAATTTTGTTGTAATAATTGGTGAGAAAATGATATTAGAAAGTGTAATTTGGGAGAGAGGTCACAGTCGGTAGGAATAAAAGCAGATAAAAAGAGGTCGCAGTTGGTAGGAATAAAAGGAGATAAAAATATTAAACTTGATGATATTTACAGTGGAAAAAAGAATTGGTTTTGCTTACAAATTAGGAACTTAGGTATCGTTTAAGGTTGAGGTAATTTAAAAAAAAACTGGTATAAAAAAAAGCTGGGGGTCATTTTTGTGTTTGGTAAACTTCCAGCTTTAGTTTTTTTTCACAATTTTGGGTGAAAAAAAGCAAAAAAACAAAAGCAACAAAATGCAGCTTTGAAAAGCTGTCTTTTCAGCTTTTGCGCAAACTTCTAAAACACGGGTGAACAGTGACCCTTTAATGAAAGTTTCTGGCAATCCTACCTTGAGCTCTCTCTTTCGCCTCCACACTCCTTCGTCAAACCCACCACTCTCCCACACCTCTCCACACCCCCTCCGCCTTTCCTGCTCCTTCAAACCCACAAAACCCCCCAAACCACCTTCTTTATCCGCCTCAACACCACCGTCTGCCAGAGACAGAGTCATCAACTTCAGAAAATACAAGGGGAAGATGCTGGGCACCCTCCCTTCAGCCTACCTCAAGTGGGTCTCCAAAAATCTCCGTGCTCACTACTTCGAGGACTGGGCGAAGCTCGCCGACTAGGTCCTTGACGACGCCGTTTATCGAGACCGAATCGAGTGGGAGCTGGAGGAGAACGTCCTGAACAGAAATCGGAGGAAAACAAACCCAGCCTCTGACGTCGTTTCGTCCACCGAGCTATGGTAGCTCCAAACCCATCAAGAACCCTAATTTCCCAAAACCCATTTCTCCATTTCACCGATACATTGACTCAGCTCAAGCTCAAGCGGTTGATTTCGAGGATTCCGAGCAGGAGGAAGAGAGTGCAGAGAGAGAGAGCTGAGGTGAGATGGTCTGAGATCGAAGGTTTGTGTGTGGGGTTGTCTTGATGGAGGAGAGAGTGCACAGAGAGAGAGCTGAGAGTTTTCAAGAGAGTTGTAGAGGGAAAAGAAGACACAAGGATAAGGGAAATGGGGTGTGGGCCCCATGGCCACACAAAATCCTTACGTAAAAATAATAATATTAAATAAAACATCAAAATAATAATATAGTATTATACCCTTTTTGATCATTTCACATAGTCACAGCTGTTTTACATAAAAGTTTACTAAACACTATCATACTGCTTTTTTTTTTTTCCAAAAGCACTTTTACAAAAATGTTTACCAAATACTTTGCTGCTTTATTTCACAGCTGTTTATTCTCACAGCATAGCAAAAGCATTTTTTTTTCAAAGCACAGCAATACCAAACCAACTCTTAGTCCACTGGTGTCAAATGCAGTAAAAAAAATTTTGATGGGAAGTAGCAAAATGGTTAAGCTAAATCTTAAGAAAATTTGAATTCTTTTTGGTGTTTGGCAGACTTTTTAAGTGATTTTTATGGATTTTTTATTGTTGTTGCAATTACAGACCATTTGATGAGTATGAAGGGATAGAAGCTGCTTAGAACCAGGTCAATCTCTAATCATTTAGCAATCGAAGATCCTCAATCATAGGCTTGGGCCTTACCTTCTGTATTTTAATGTTTGTTTTATACCATTTCCTACATTGTTTGGTTGTTTTAGACTGTAGATGAAATGTAAAGTGTTATTTATTCCAAGTAAAATTAAAAAGTAAAGTAGGTCCTCTTCAAAATGCTTGGAATAAGCCTATGGGTTTTAACTTGGTTCTTAAATTATTTTTTCCGTGATAAAATCAATTATGAATGTTTACATCATTTGTAAAGTGATGAATAAGTTGACATATTAAACTTATTACTTAACTCTTATTACACATCCTTCATTAATCTTTCTTTTATGTGGAGGCCAAATTGCAGGAAGTTTTACTCTTTTTTATGGATATTTTGAAGTCTTTTATGCAAATTGCAAGTTATTTTTACTTTATTTGATATTTAACATTCTAAATTACATTTAAACACAAGTACAATGTAACCTTCGTTCTTGAAGATGAGACCGATGATGAGGCAACTACAATGTCTCACAAAAAAACAGAAAATCAGAAGACCTCTTTTGGTCGGTGGCAAAAAAAGGTTACACCTTACTAAATAAAATAATATCTTTTCCTATATTTAATCTTTTGTAACACAAACTTTTATACCTTTCAAACATAATTTTTTATATGATTCTTAATCCCACAGCAACGCGCGGGCAGTGTTTTCTAGTATATACTAAACCATTTTTTTGCACTACAAATTTGAGAAAGAATCAAGTCGGCCTCTGCCATGCAAATGGTTTGTTCCACTTCTTTTCTCCAGTTTCCAAAACTATAGATACGACCGTAATAAAACATACATAGCCCTCACACAGTGCAGCCCCTTAGCAATCTAACAAAGAGAGATTTATGTCAAAAGAGAAAAAGAAAAAAAGCTTTAAATGCCAGTTTGGTGTGGTTTTCGTTTGCTCTTCTTCTTTTACGGAGTAAGCATACACCTATCCATCCATCTTCTCTTTTATGTATAAATCTATATACACACACATACATTCACACACACACATATTTAAATATACACACTGAGAACATTGAGTTCAATTCAAATCTATAATCCTAACAATGTACTTAACACATCAGAAACATAAATCCAATGTACCTCCAACAGAGATTTGAACCATCTTTCATGAGTCAACATCGCTTTCCTTTGCCCTTTTTCACTTTCTAATCTCTGGAGATCCTAACTTTTATCTGGAAACATATAAAAACTACAAAATCACAACTTACTTATACTCGATCAACGTTTTGCTCTGAAATCTCTATTTTAGACTTAGTATCTAGAAACAAAAAGTCTTATATGCAAAAGATAACTCATTTATCACAAAGCAACGATACATTTGCAGTAACTGTTGAAGTCAGAATATATTGATCATCATGAATTGCAACATTAGCATTCTAATTAGAAACTTGTAGCCATCAAATTTAACATTTCACTACCACGTTTGATCGCATTAAACAATCAAATTATCGATAATTACCTTAGCAGAAGCTTGAATTTCTCTGGCAGTCACATTCAAAGCAAGTGCATAACCTTAAACCCTCCGATTTCTAATCATATACCTAAAAATAGCAAGGAACCGGCTTCTTTCTCCCACAACCAAAGTTCCTGAAATTTCCAAAGAAAGTAAATCCGTTTGCAATTCAGAGAAATTGGAGGACCAAATCGTATTAAAATTGACTTAAATGAGCAAAGGTACACCAATTAAATGAGATATTAAACACATTTCAAATCTATGAAATAGAAGAACAATCATGTTAAGACTCCCAATATTGTGTGTTGAGCACAAAATTATAGGTTAATAAAGGTAGATCCCAATCCAAAGCTCCAACCTTTTAACCCAAAATGAAAACAAAAAGCATGGAACATATATTTCAGTTTTACTATTAGATTTCTAAATCCTCAATTTGAATGCGTTGTAAAGATAATACCACCAACTAAGGGTGGCAATCTGACCATGGTTGTGTATATCATGTCGACTTTATGCAACTGAATATATAAATTTAAGCAGCCCCAGACAGTCTCCTAAGCATCTACAAACTATTAACATTATTTCCCCAATTTATTTCTCAATTTTATCAAATGCTGCATAAACAATCACAATTTACTCCCTTCCAACACATAACTCCGAACAAACAATATTGATAAATCTTTATCATCACCTTTAACAAAACAGGTTACAGCAAAAAGAATAAAAAAGTTCCTATGTAAATAAATTTAAGCAGTTTCAGATAGTCTCCTAAGCACAAAATTATAGTTGAATAAACAAAAATCCTAATCCAAAGCTCCAACTTTTTAACCCAAAATGAAAATGAAAAGCATGGAACATATAATTCAGTTTTGTTATTAGATTCTCTAAATCCCCAATTTAAATCCATTGTAAAGATAATACCACCGACTAAGGGTGACAATCACAGAAATGGAATCCAGGTAAAACCAAAATACATTAAGAATCCTCAATAGTTAAATTGCAAGCTAAATCGATTAAGTGCTCCAAAGATAAATGCACAAATTTCCCAACAAAGCAAAGAAATTGAAACTGTGTCATGAAAATTAATTAAAGTTCATATAATGTGATTGTTTCATTAGCTAAGAGGCCACATAGAATGTCGGTACTGCATGGCACAAAAGCAGTGTAAAATCTACATGTATAGGCAATATCATCACGCTTGAGAATTCGAAATGAACAAACACTGCACACACTCACACACACCAGAATTCATATTATGATCCAGAAGCTTTCAAACTACTAATCAAAAGCAAAAGCAAGATATAAGAAATGAAAGTGAAAAAACAAAATGAAAGAAAAAGTCTTGGCCAGCATATTTATAAGATATGGATACCAATCCACTGGACTCCAAACACCAAATAGTGACAAATTTAGCTAAAGAATGTTAGCCACAAAAATCCTATTAATGAATCTCAAAATTTACCCTAACCATTAAAATAGTAATGAAGCTCAGAATATTCCCTAAACACCGAAACCCACAGTACATGCCGTCTACCCAACAAAGATAAATTAAAAACAACAACTGCAGGATCAATAAGGACTTTGTGAACTACAACGATTAAAAGGGCCGGAAAAACACTAAGCTTGATGAACAAAAGAAAGTGCACATTAAAGAGCACCAAAAAGGCAAACACTTTCAAGGCTGTCAAACAAAATTCAGTTCAAGGGTTTGAACCCATTGATCTAACTGCAAACATACAAAGGACAGAATAAAAAATGCAGAACTAAAAACTGTTAGAAATACAAAATTAAAATATCACCCATCATGCTAGCTGCTTCTTCTAACACAATTACTTTCACCTTTCTAATATCATAGTATTTTTTTTTATTTCTGCAATCAATACTGTCCAATCTTTGAATTTTTCATTAAATTAGATGGTAGTGTAGAGCCTAAAAAATGTTAGGCAGGCTGCTACAGAGATGGTAAAGCCCAACAGCTCCATCTAACCCACCAATTGCTAAATGTTAAATTTCTTGAACTACACAACCTATTACAATTACCCGAACAGTTAGAGAACACTGGACATTCGTTGTACTCAATCTGCATATATCCCAGGACCAAGAAAGTTATGAAGAAACAGAAATGAAACTGTACAGCAGGTTTACAGCAGGGAACAAACACTATGAAACTGGCACTCAAGTACTGTAAGGAAAATCAGATTAGCATTCATCTAACCAGAGCTTCTAGGTGCTAACAATTAGTTATTAAAACCCTAACACTAATCAAGTGATCCTGCACATATATCTAGCTTTCTTCACATCCCGCCAGTAATAAAATGCATTCAAGCGCGTAGTGCAGCTTGCACAAATAAAGCAGTTTAAGTATGATAAACAGAAAAAGGAAATGGAAACATGAGTTTAGTAAAAATGGGAATAAATCAAATAAAGCCAAAAAAGAAAGACCGGTACAATAGCTGGATAAATTAAATAGCTTTCTACAACATACAAAAGAGATTGAGAAATCTAATTCAGCAACTCCTTTTCCTAATTAGGTCTGGTATTAATTTAGCCAAAACCTCAGTAAATCCTTTAAAAATTAAAACTCACAGCCCCTGTTTGGTTCCAGAGAAAAAGAAATATGGAATAAAAAACAATATGTTTCCATTAAATTACTCACTTAAATCAAATAACAAGTCATTTTCATGAAATGAAAAACAAATCATTCAGAATTAAAACCCTAAACCTCCATTGAACCAAACACACAACCCAAGAGTCTACGCAGATTCAAGTTTCCATATTCACAGATAACTAAATTTCCATCACTTTCTCAACAACTAAACAGAAAATACATTAAAAAGGTAAGGACGAAAAATTGGAAAACCTAACTCAAACCCCAAGCTTCTTATGCAACCCCAAAAGAAGAAAAGATAGATATCGAAAGTAAAAATGGGAACATGAGTTATCGTATGATAAACATGAAAAACAGTATGATAAACAGAAATAATGATGTGAGAATGAAAAACTCCTAACGTAGAACAAAGTTGGCATATTTAATTTTGCTCAACAGATAGAATATGCCAAGTTCAGGGATTGCCACCATCCGGAAAAAAAAAAAAAAAAAAAAAAAAAAAAGCATCAGTTTAGAATTCATTCCCAATGAGTCGATTGTAAGATGTAATCTGAAAATCAACAAGTTACTAGGATCACAGATATAACAAATATAACTACAATAAACCAATCAAACAATTAAAGGGAAACAAACTTATATTCCAAAGCGGAGGAAGAAGAAGCCATGACTGCTAGGGTTTCAAGGAGGAACTTCTACACTCTAGCAGCCGAGAGTCCTTGTGCACAAAATAGGGTTTTGCACTAGAATAGGATAATACTGTGAGTGCAGAGACCTCCTAATATATAGACACTCATCCCTTTAATCCGGCCTATTAACTGATTAAAGGGATATTCCAAATCAATTAGGATTTCATTATAGTCCTAAATGGTAACAAATTCTTTGTCAACTAAATAAGGTTTTCATAATTAATTGCACTAAATAAGGACTCCTAACCTAACCAAATAAGGCTCCATAATTTTCTCAACTATTAACTCAGATTGACCAAGTTACTGTATGTCAAGAAACAGTGAGCACATGTTATTTGACACTCACAACTTACATTCTCCCACTTGAGTGTTCAAGAACATGATCCTTATTTGGCTAAGTGGTAGGTGATCACTGAGTCCCACCAAAATTTGCAATTATACCTTTAACAACTTGTCACTAGTAGTTTAAATATTGGATCATAGAAAATAACATGTAATTGCTTCTACATGTTTACTCTATTACCACAAATATCAAATTACGAGCACAATGTTGCCTGACATCATTCGTTAAATTCAGGTTGATAAGCAAAAGATCAACTCCTAAACTGAGCCTCATGCAAGCATGGCTCATATTTTCTGTCAATTTATAATATGATAAGAGGACAAGTAACATACAACATACTATTTACAAAATTAGGACCTCTTATTAAACTTATGAACAAAACTTAAACAAAAACTCTTAAAATATCAGTCACTAACACTTCAAATTTTAAACACAAAAGGTAATATCTTACTCCCACTGATTAAAAGAGACAAAATTATATAAATTATTATTACTCCCACTGATTAAGAGAGTAAAAAAAAAAAACTTTGTAAATGTCTACAAAATGAAACAGATACCTTTCAAATACTCCTATTAGCAAGACATTAGTCATGGGATCTAAAACATAAAATTTGTGAGCTCAACATCTTTATTCCAGATATCTTTAGGGAAGTGACTCTTGTGACTGAAAAACTATACAAAATCATTTGGTACGTTTTGTTCATCTAACATTTGACAGAAATAGAAAACTTTAACGGAACGTTTTCTGATTGCAACAAAAACATATAATTCCAGAATCATCTTTGGACAGAATCTGATTATATTAGGTTTGCATAGCTAAAACATAAAATACAAGGGCAAACGTATATAGCTTCAACACTTTTGAGCAGATGAAGTATATGCAATCTTGTCAATTTCATGTTTCACTATACATTGATTTATAGTTGTACTGAATAAGAAAACACTTTTGAGCAGATTAATTATTCATCAATAACATATAAATCACAAGTTCAATTTCTTGAACAACAAACAAGAATTAATAAGTAAAACACTTTTGAGCAAAATGTACCCATTAATCCTTCATGAATATGAATCTGGTCGTATTGTATTTATCAGTTCAAAATTGATAAATAACGATAGTGATTCAAAGTAAAATTTCCTGCAAGGTTAGTTACATTTAACAAATAAAATATAAACAAATATCATGATTTACATCTTATCTTCGGATGCAGAAATCGATGAGTGTGAAGCCCATAATATATTATTTCTCCCACTTGGGCAAACACTCCAAATTGCAAGATTAAACACTAGAGACAGTGGTTTTCATATAACAAAATATAGGCTAGTTGAATCAATAAAGATAGTGTAAGCTCTACCAAAATTTCACATTTAATCATAATTTAAATAAAACCAATTTACAATCTTTAATATGATCAAAACACGAAAATTTCTTAAATAAATTAAAGGTTCATTTCATTAGATAAATAACCTTTAATATGCCCAAAACATTAAAATTTCTTAAACAAATTTGTTGAGTCACAAAATAGTTGGTTTGGACAGAATAAACCAATCTATATGTGTCAAAAATTAGGCTTATATAAGGAACAATATCTCAACATTATTAATCAATCTAAAAGTGACAAGTGATTAGATAAACAAATGGCTACGAAATTTATTTTAGTGTATGAGAGAAGACTCATATATGTGTTAAAGATTAGGTCATAAATTAAAATGAAACCTAATAAGAGAATCCAAACTCAAAATTTATGTTTTAATTCTAAAACAAAGTAGAATTAAGGTAAACACATAGATATCTCAACAACATCAATTTTTCAACAATAAATTGCATGATTGTTACACCTTTGGGCAGAAACTAATCATGCAAAGAAAATACCTGCATAGCTAGCCAAAAACATAAAATACACAAAATACATATAGCTTCAACAGCTTTGGCCAGATGAAAATATGTTAGAAGTATTTTATGTTGCTATAATAGTAATTTATAGTTGGTAAATGATTTCCTGAAATTCCCTTTGGGATAAAAGTATTCACCATATAAATTAGAATTCTGATTTTTCAAAATAATCCTTTAGAACATTATTAAATAACCGTTTTGTTGGATATTCAATAATTCTCAAAAGATTAAATTAGACACAAAAGCATGTCGTTATTGACATTGAACAATAGAGTTCACGAAAGAGGAAACATGGTTATTCAGTTATTTGATAGGGACCAAAATATCGATAGGGACCAAAATGATCAATTAGTAAATTGATGCCACTTTCCAATTTTTGTCTCAAAAGACAATGATCATCATAATCAAAATTGATGACCAAACAAAACATTGGTTGAGCGAAATAAACCAATACACTTTTCAACCAAAATTTAATCAGTGTTCACTAAAAAATTAGAATTGAGAATTTGCAATGAAAACTAGGACATATTAGAGCAAATAAACATGTCAAAAATTGGTACTATTGGATATGCACAAATTAGTGAAAACAATATTGCATAACATAACTAGTTTTTGAAGTACCAAAAATTGAGCAATACCACTTTAGTTTGCAAATTCACTAAAAACTCAATTCTCCTTAGATTGTCATGAAAAGTTTTAGGTATGAACTAGACATATATGACTACTATTTCACAAAATTTCATGATTTTTAAAATTTTTAAGCGAGCCAAAAATGAATTCGAAAAGAGAGGTGCTGCAGAAACTGCAGAAAATGTTCAGTACAGACCTGAGATTACAAATTCACAAAATATTCATTGTTCATCCGATATGCATGAAAATTTTCAGACTTAAAGAAAACATACAAAACTGTTAATTCCCAAAATTTCATAATTTTTGAGATTTTACAAGTGTACTAAAAACAAAATCGAAGTAAGTTGTGCTGCTGAAACAACAGAAATTCTGCAAAACATAACCGAGATTAAATAATTCACCAAAACTTCAATCTTCCTCCAATGTGCATGAAAATTTCCAGAAATGAGTAGACATATATATTTACTATCACTCAAAATTCCATAGTTTGTTCGATTTTACAAGTGAGCTAAAAAAAAAAAAAAAAATCTAAATGGAATGTGCTGCAGAAACTGCATAAATTCTTCAGTACAGTCTCGAGATCAATAATTCACCAAAAATTCATTTTCAAACCAATGCTCGTGAAAATTTTCATATTTAAAAAAAAAAACATCTCAATGTATATCATACTAAAATTTCATGAATTTATGAGTTACCTTGATATATCAAAATAATATCACAAACAAACTATTCTGTAGAAATCCGCAGAATTCCAGCAACATGGTATCACTCTTAAAAATTTACCATAAATCCATTTCTTGTCAAAAAAAAACGTGGAAAGATACCAGCGTCTACAATCCATTTAATATTTCGACATGACCGAATTTCAAAATATTTGGAGTTATGGAAGTCTATCAAGCCCAGGTTATTGACATGAATGGGTTTCCTTTTAATGAGACTTTAATCGAGTCATACCCCTATAATATTATAGTTTGGAAGGACTATAATTTAGCATGATTAATTTTGACAAAAGTTTAGCAAGAAATAAATCACACCACAATGAATCAATTTATTAAAAAATTGAAAACCCCAATACGAACCGACTAAAAGCAATTCATAATAATGTAATTAACCACACATCAAAATTATGGCAGCAAGCAATCCTTCATAAAACAATAATTTGTTTATATATACATAAGTTGCAAATAGTTTCACCAGTATCGGTTCATCGAAAACAAACAGATTGGGAATGCCTTTTATAACATGTTAATTAACAATTGTAACTCAAAATTTGCAAGCATGAAAGCCGATAAAATCTTCTATGATGGCTCACCTAGGAAACCAGTATCCATAAGATTAATTTGATCCATCAACTCAAAATAATATGAATACAAGCAAACTTACCAAATTTAAAAAATTTAAAGGCTAGTTTATATGGCAATAAGCGGAAACAAGAAAAAACACCAGAATCATTAGTCGAACCAATATATATGTATGTATATATATATAATAGGGTTTATAGGAGACAAAGAAACCTGAGAAAACTCACTTCTTTAGCAAAATAGTAGTCATATATGGGAGAATTTGTAATGAAAAACGCCGAATAGAGCCAAAAGCCGCCGGAAAAATATTTGCGTCTCAAGCTTATGTTAATTAGTTGAACCTCTAACCAAGAACCATTAAGCAAACACTCACATGGTTCATCCAAAATAAAATCAATCATCAACTTATCTGTCCAGTCGTTTAGTGATAGATAAATGATATTGATTCCTAAAGTTTTACTTCATTTGTTGAAGTCTGATACTCCTTCTATTTGATGCCATTCTGATGGAAGCAATTAGCCAATATGCAAAGTACCAGTTTTGATGCGTGCGAAATATGCAACAAGTTTACAACAAACTCATTCAAGATTGCGGAAGCATTTAACCAAGATCATCCAAGTGTTTTCATTACTCTGAATGGATGTAATTCTCTGCATAAATGTAACAAACACAACTCGAAGAATACCATGAAATTATTCATCATGCAATTGAAATTGCAGAAGAATTGGTTAGAGTATAGCGGAAGCATTAATTTAACCAGAATCAAATATATACCTCAGTTCCTTTAGTAAATAAAGAACCCTAGCCACGTTGGGTGGCTCTGATGGAGTCGCCATGGAACAAACAATTGAATCAGTCTTCTATAAACAAATTATTTTGCTTATACCTTTATATCGGACCCTAAGCTTGTTGTGTGGCTCTGATACCACATGTAAGATGTAATCTGAAAATCAACAAGTTACTAGGATCACAGATATAACAAATATAACTACAATAAACCAATCAAACAATTAAAGGGAAATAAACTTATCTTCCAAAGCGGAGGAAGAAGAAGCCATGACTGCTAGGGTTTCAAGGAGGAACTTCTACACTCTAGCAGCCGAGAGTCCTTGTGCACAAAATAGGGTTTTGCACTAGAATAGGATAATACTGTGAGTGCAGGGACCTCCTAATATATAGACACTCATCCCTTTAATCCGGCCTATTAACTGATTAAAGGGATATTCCAAATCAATTAGGATTTCATTATAGTCCTAAATAGTAACAAATTCTTTGTCAACTAAATAAGGTTTTCATAATTAATTGCACTAAATAAGGACTCCTAACCTAACCAAATAAGGCTCCTTAATTTTCTCAACTATTAACTCGGATTGACCAAGTTACTGTATGTCAAGAAACAGTGAGCACATGTTCTTTGACACTCACAACTTACATCGATTTCTAAACCTTCACCCAACACAAAAAAAAATTGTATTTGTTCTATTCCTAGAATTTTTTCCCATAGCCTTAGTTTTAGCAAGATTTATGCACTGACCTAGAAATACACAAACCTGACCCTGTACAGTTGAAGACAGACTTGACAAAAGTTTTCCGATAAGTATCCTATCCCATGAAGTCCAATCATAGAAATAAAGACTAACATCAAGTTTAAGTTTGAATTTTTAGGTCAACAAAAGCAACAATCTCTGAGAAATTTGAAAAGTAGAATAGCGAATGAAATGCAATTCTTGAAAACTACCGAAATCAAAACAACAACTTCCACTCAATTTCTCAGCAACAGATCTTAATACAGGTAAAATACCAAACAGATCAGTTAAAAAACCAAATTAGAGGAAAGGAGCTTACTTTGCACGTTGGAGCTACAACAATTACTCCATCCCATTTGTCCGGCTCCTTAAGATGAATCTTGAGACTCATGGCTCCTCCCATGGATTCTCCCATTACAAAGAATGGCAGACCTTTCACTTCGAATCTTCCTGGAATTGCAATCAATTCAAAGAAATTAGCGAAGCCTATATTGTGAAGAATGTCACTGGAATCTGAATTAAGCAATTTCATACCTTTGACATTAGTAAATTGTTTGATTACATCGCCGACTAATTCATCGTAGCCATGCAATCCTTCAGAAAGACCGAAACCCGGATAGTCCACTGTGTTTATAGCGTATCCAGAGGCAGCAATTCGCCTGGCGATACCTGACAGTCTAAAATTTTGAAGCATATCATGTGTGGAACTTAAGTTTAAGCAATGCATTGGCATAAGATTTTAACTTGGGTTATGTATAAAACAGGGGAAGGAGCAGAGATGCCAACCTTCAAAGAAAAATGTGCAGGTACTACCATAGCCATGGCAGAAGCATAAAGCACCTTTGATTCGATCACCAACTTTTGGCAACCAGCTTTTTTTTAACATCTCCATACCCCTTGAATTCCTTCCATACCCAGTGGTGTAGGCGGTGATGATGGGAATGGACGGTGATGGGTTCGGGTGGGCTGCCCATTTGAGGGTTTGGGTTAGTTTGGTCGGGAGAAGTTTCCAAGAATATGACTGAAAGCAGATACTGACTGATTAATGACACCAAACTCAATTTTGCCTGAGTATACATAGGAGCAACAACAGCAGCGGTAAGAATCTGAAGAATATAGCAGTATCCATTGGTGAAAAACTTGAGATTTCTTGAAGATATCAACAATTTCTGCAAGGTCGGAATATGAGTTATAACACAACCAATTGGATCTGCATGGCAAAACAATCCACATGCTCAAGATCAAACCTCCCTGGCATTTGTGTACCAAAATTAACTTTAACAGGAAGTCCTAAGCACAACCGTATAATTCTTAGGCCTAATGATGCAGCTCAGCCTCGGGAATGAGGCACAGATATCACCGGAAAATTTTGTTTTTGTTGATTACCAAAGGGATAGAGGGACATTAACAGAGAGTAATATAAGTTGAAGTTGTGTAGGATGCTTTGTTGTGATTAAGTACACACAAAAACAATAATGCATTGCATCAACTTAAATTTGTGAGAGAAAAAGGAGTCCTCAGCGTAAAGGCTAATGACTGCATGCAGAGAAGTGAAAACAGAAGAAGATAAAAGTTATTCATACACTCAGATTATCGAAAGCACTTGTGAAGCGTTGTAGACACATGAACCGTAAAAAGCACAAAATCGTTGCTTTCAGAATCCAAACACATAAAAACCACCTTTTCCATGTACAAATTGCCATCATCGCCCAAAGAATTGCCATTCCTAAAAGGCCTAAAATGGATATAATGCAAAACAAATTCTCCACCCAACTCAAAAACCATAAAATTCGATAAATCCAATACCTTTGGAAACACTTCGGGCAGCGGCTTCAGCTGAAACCGCGAGAGAGGATTCAGCAAGTGCATCCGACCTGGCAGTCCTCTTTGATAACAAAGGAATCAACCCCAGATAAGAAACCAAAAAACAAAAAAACAAAAAAGAATTTTCTTAGCTTTAGTTTCTGGGTTTACACCAATGTTTTAAAAGGCTCGTCTAGGCGCCCTCTGAGGCTGGGCTTGAGGGTTGCCACCTTTGTTTTGAGGGAGTGGGCGTAAAGCTTTGTTGGAGCCACCTAGGCAGCGGAAGGCGCGCCTCAGGACTTTTTTTTTTTTTTTATACTCCCAAACCCAAATTTTGGGTAGGGTTTTAACTGCCTCATACATCTCCTTTGCATTATCGGCCCTCTACCTTTTAATACACTAGTTTACACTGTGGAATCCTATTGAGAACTGAAGGATGAGACTAGTGATGGTATCTTCTCCAATATTCAATCAGATATTCAATCCAAACAACATGCCTAATACTCAAGAACACGTTCAATCTTTAAGCACATTTACAAAACAGATTTAGAACATTTTAAAATCCTCTGAGCAGCAGAACATAAGAATCCAACAGAAAGACAAAACAGCATACCAGTTCATGTGGATCTTCCTAACTCGTCCAAAAAACTGTGCACATAGTTCACCTGCAAGCACCAGAAAATTTTGAAGACGCATAGAAATGAGCAAAGTGAAACCCAAAAATCGAATTATGGTTCTAACAAAGCAAAAGGAAAACAAAACAATAAACAATTCATTTGAAACAGTGCATAACCTATTCAATCAGAAGGAAAAACCGAAAACCCATACCCTGCCATACACCCCTCTGTGACTCTCTCCTCACCGACCCTGTGCACTAACCCATTAATTAATCCCAAAAAATGCACACAGCCATGTTTTCTTCTCTCTCTGTCTACCTTTATCTCCCTATCTATCTCTCTTTAGAAAACTACAAATCCCCCAAAATCGGACCTAACATGCTAAATAATCAGAAAATCCAAGGCCACATTAAAGAATACAATTTTAAAAAGAAACTTATCTTTGGATTTCAGGCATGCAGTGCAAGATCCGGTAGGGTTTGTCGATGTCCCCTACCTCGTCTCCCTGAAATCCCAACGACCCGTATGGTCTTCTCTGCCCATACGTGGTCCATCTGCATCAACAGTGCCGAAACCTTATCCCTCCCCATCGCTTTCCTTCCATCGCCATCTCTCTCTCTCTCTCTCGCAGGCCCTACCCGAAACCCTAATCGAACGAGACCAAATGATAGCTGCCCGCTGACCCCCATCTCGCCAAATATGAGAAGACAAAATTACCCTTCATAATAACCATGACCACCATTGGATTGTAATATGTGATGGGCAAAAACGTAATTAAATAATTTGGCCTAACTGAGGGCCGAGCTTCCCAGCTAAAGCCAACACATCGGGCTGCTGACCCAAAACCAACAGAAATACCAATGGCATGGTTGTAATTAATCTGAAATTCGGATCAAAACACTATTCATTCCTACAATGCCAATTCCAAACCTTTCTATAGACTAAAGTAATTTGAGTCTCCAAAGGCAACATGAAATGTTGTAAATTTGTCGCCGCAAAGAATAAAGGGAGGTAGAGATTTTCAACGGTTGTATAATCGATTTCAGCCAAGTTAATATTTAGGCTGAGGTAAAATATGGATTGCCCTCAGTTATTTTCATTGTCCTGAGCCAATAAACGCCCAATCAATGCGTCAGTTACCAAGATGTACAATTTCAAGGACTTTCCTCTTTTGGGAGGCATCAAAACTGGTTTATTTACCAAATACTCTTTGATTTTATTAGAAGCTTGTTGGTGCTCCGTTTACCAAACAAACGTGTCTGAATCCTTCAACCTTTAGCGAAGACGAAAATGCTTCCATTTTTCTGGCTGAATTAGAAATAAATCGACGGAGGAAATTGATCTTGTAGAGCAAAGATTGAGCCGTTTTTTGGTAGTCGGCAGATGGGCATCAATAATAGCTTTAGCTTTATTCTTATTTACCTCTATTTCCCGCTAATGAACCAAGAAACCAAGAAAGTTCTTGGTTGAAACCTCGACCACATTTTTTTAAGGATTCGTCTTTGAATTATGTTGGCACATCCGTTCAAATGTTCATTGAAGATTTGTCATATGATCTTGGCGTTTTTTCGATTTCAGCACAACGTGACCAATGTAGACTTCGACAATCGTTCTAATGGGATCATAAAAAATTGCTTTCTTTGCACATTGATAAGTGGCACTAGCATTCTTAAGACCGATGAGCATTATGACCTATTCGTAAATACCAAGGGTTCCAGGGCACCGAAAAAACCATTTTTTGAGCATCGGCTTTGGTAATAAAAATTTGATCATAACCAGCATGGCCATCCATAAAAGAAAAATTTCATGGTCGTTGCAGCATCAACTAGCAAATTAGAAATTGGCATTGGGTATCCATCCTTAGGTGTAGCCAAATTTAGACTGTGAAAATCAATGCAAATCCGATGAGTGCCATTTTTATTTACGATTGGCATAATGTTTGCCAACCATTTCATATACTGAGCCGTCCGAATAAAACCATCATTTAATAAACGAATAACTCGTCTTTGATGCCGAGTTGTAATTTGGTCGAGCATCAGCGTGGGGGTTGGCGAAATGGCTTACAATGTTTTTTATTTCATTTTAAGCTTGTGTTCAACTAAAGATCTATCTAGGGCAGGCATCTCATGATAATTCAAAGCAAAACAATCTTTGTATTTGTAGACATGTAAATTTCGTTGCATATAAATGATGCATCGCAAAGCTCCACGTGGCATATAACTCATCACAAATGGACAAATCATCAATGATATGTGGCACAAGTCAAGCGAAGGAAGTATAAAACTTCCCTAAAATTTGGCAATAAGGGAGAATTCCCCTTAAATTCGGCTAGGGAATCCAAATTGATCCTAAAACTGGAAAGAAAGCAAAAGCATATTCGTAAAACAAGTAAGAATTGAAGATTGCTCACAAAATAGGCAACAAGATCCTTAAATTTGGCCAAGGGAGTAAAGTGGCTGAAATTAAGACACAAAACATGCCTAAAATCATTCTAAAGGCAAGCCTTGAGAAGTCTATAAATACAAGGTCCTCCCACAAGCATAAGGGTCGAAAAATCTCTACACAGAAGAACCTTTGCAAAACCTTTGAACACAAATATGCTACCAAAGCTCTATTCGAAGAACATTCAACCAAAGCCGAAGCACTTCCTTGAAGAATTAACAAGCGCTCGTGCTGATTCCTTCAAGACTTTGTTGCACGCTTATAAACTTGTAGCAACGTTCGTTTTAAGATCAAGTCGCCAAGACCCTCGAAGCAACGAAATCCCACATCAAACACTACTTTTGTTGCACCCCTGAGGTGAAGACCATCCACACATCGTTTCAAGCTCAAAACTTGAACCAATTGTTCAACCGTTCGTCTAAGATCAAGTCATTGCGACCCAAGGATCAACAATCACTCATCTACATCAAATTTGAAAACTGAATCAGAGGAAAAGTTGTAAACAGAGATTGTAACCTAAAAATTCAAATCAATACAAATCTACTTTGTACACGTATTCTCGTTTCATTCGATACAAAATTTTTGTGTTTACAAATTTGGCACGCCTAGTAGGATCTCTCTGCCTCTCATCTCTATCTTCAAATCTACAAAAAAACACGAATGGCATCAAGGAAAGATCAAGATGTTCCCGCTACTAACGCGAATAACAAGGTATCTTTGCCGCAAGTGGTGGCACCTTAGGCGTCACAACCCCAAGCAAGGCAAGAACTCTATCTGCCGTGCCTTCTACCCCTCCATCAACTCTGCTGAAGCAGCAAGAGCACCCAAGGCACGAACTTGTGATCACGCTGGCCTCGCTAAGGGCACCAAGGGAAGAAAGCCAGATGAAGTACTCTGAGTCTTTGACTTTTGATGCCGACTCAAGCAGCTTATGTTCCGTACCCATGGAAGTCATGACTACTAGCACAACTTCCATCGAGGAGTAGCTAGCTCAAATGAGTGAAGCAATTGCAAGGCTGATAAGGACCGTGGAGAAGAAAGACTTACAAATTGCTACGTTCGTTAACTATCTAAAGGTGCAACACGACGACAAAACTGACCCGAAGGTTGATCCACCAAAAGAGGAAACGGACAAAAAGGAAGAGCCTCTGGTGGAGAAAGTCGAAGAGAAGCTAGACCAAGCGACAACGCTCATGGGATCTCTCTATCCAGCAGTTGCAGGAGATGATCACTAGCACCATCAAAGCTCAGTACCAAGAAAGCTCACATAACTCCGTGCTGTACTCAAAGCCCCACTCCAAGAAGATTGACGCCTTGAGGATGCCAAAGGGTTATCAGCCGCCAAAGTTCATGCAATTCGATAGAAAGAGCAATCCTAAACAACATATTGCCTATTTCATAGAAACTTGCAACAACGCTGGAACAGAGGGGGACTACCTCGTCAAACAGTTCATGCGCTCGCTGAAAGGTAATTTTTTTTACTGGTACACCAACCTCGAGCTTGAATCCATCAACAGTTGGGACCAGCTTGAAAGGGAATTCTTCAACCACTTTTACAGCTCATTCCGCATTGTAAGTATGTTGGAGCTTACAAGTATAAAGTAATGGAAGGATGAACCGGTCTTGGACTACATCAACATATAGAGCTCATTAAGTATGGATTGTAAGGATCGGCTTTTTGAAACCTTCGCCATTGAGATATGCATTCAAGGCATACACTAGGACCTACACTACATCCTCCAAGGCATAAAGCCGAGGACATTTGAGGAACTGGTGACTCATTCCCATGACATGGAGCTAAGTATCGCCAACCATGGAAAAAATGAACCAATCACCGACTTCAAGAAGGACAAGATTTTCATTCCGAATATAGACAAGACTGGGAAGAAGCCCGCCAATGAAGCTTTTACCGTCAACACTACCCCCGTCAAGACCTCCCATGTGTTCGTCAAGATCTCTTCCAAGAACAAAGTAAAGGAGATAAAAAAAGGTGAGCCTTCTCGCACCCAAGATAAGTACAGAACACATTGAGGGAGCTGGAGCAAAAGACGTACCTTTTTTGGACTCTAACATGACCGCAATGCTAAACGATCTATTGGAGAAAAAGGTGATCGAGTTACCTAAGTACAAGCGCCTAGAAGAGATGAATCATGTTAATGATCCTAGGTATTGCAAATACCATCATATCGTGAGTCATCTTGTTGGCAAGTGCTTCATCCTCAAGGAGCTCATCATGAAGCTGGCACAACAAGGGCAAATTGAACTCGATCTTGAAGACACATCTGCAACACACTCTACTGTAATTGTGTTTGGTTCGTTCGATCTCGTGCCTTTCCAAGTAACACATGCCCATTCTCATCCCTATTTAAGCTACACGACACCTTCTACACAGCCCTCGCTAAGGGTAAGTAAACAAAATGCATTTACCGACGATATGCACTTATCAACGATGAAGAAGGATGGACATTGGTGACCCACAAAAAGACAAGGAAACTAAGACCACAAGCCACAAAGCCAAAAGTGGAACAAGTAAGAAAGCACCGCCACCGTAACAATAGGAAGCCCAGGAAAAACGTAAGAGCTACTAAGCAGGCATACGCTGGGGAACCTATGGAGCAAGAGCCATACATTCCCGTCTCCTTGCATGAGTACTTCCCGAGGGATTTCTTCCAACACTACACTACCGTTGCCTGTCACATGGTTGAAGTAGAGATAGAAGAGCCCTCAAAAGGGAAAGCTATAGCCGTTAAGGAAGAGAAAACTCTAACTCCTAAAAAAAGCATGACGTCATACTTTAGCATCAAAGAGGCGCTATGATTGCCCAAAGAGATACAAAGAGCACTAATAGCAGTCTTGGCGAGTCCTGACGACCACAAAGTGCAAGAAACCAAGGACAAAAGCCTGGAGCTTCGGCACATGAATACGCCACATATTGTGCCATCCATGAGGCAATCATCTTCATTGACGAAGACTTGCTGCTAGGGTTAAAGCCTCACAACCATCATCTCTTCGTCTCTGGGTACATGAATGAGCACAAAGTCAACCAAATGTTTGTGGATGGTGGTTTAGCCTTAAACATCATGCCAAAGTCAACAATGATTACAATCAACATCAAGGTGGTTGAACTGACCCGAAGCCGTCTGCTAATCCAAGGTTTCAACCAAGAAGGACAAAAAACGATTAGCATGGTCCATGTTGAGATGACCATTGGCAAACTCAAGTTGAGCACGATATTCCATGTGATTGATGCGAGAACTTCCTACAGTTTGCTTTTGGTAAAGCCTTGGATTCATGAGAATGGAGTGGTGCCGTCCACCCTCTACCAATGTTTAAAATACTACCGAGAATGAGTAAAGGTGATACAAGGCCATACCAAGCCATTCACCAAAGCTGAATCACACTTCACGGACACCAAGTTCTACATAGATGAAGATAAGGTGCCTGAAGCTCTTCCAAATGAGATCAAGTCCACAAGCAAAGCTGTACCAAAAAAGAATTAGTGGCAAGCCGTGCCCAAAGAGCAAGAAGGGGAAGCCGTGCCATCTTAAAGCAAAAACGACGATGAGCCTGTTAAGCTCAAAACAACCAAAGGAAATGTGACGCCCTCAAAAGGATCAAACACACTTGTCTTCCGATACATCCTGATGTCCAGAAAAAAGAGTGGGCACTCCCTGTTTGAAACAAGCAAAGTTGCATAAGGACGACATAAAGCTGCTTAAGGCAAATGCAGTTTTACCTCTGACACAGCTAGGCGATGCTAAAATCTCAAAGCCACCTCAAGGCTTCGTAAAACCCCTGCCAAATGGGGTAGAACCGAGCAATCTTCCAACCAAGATAACTAAAAAAGGTTTCGACCCAAACGCCTACAAACTCATGTCAAAGGTTGGGTACGATTTCGCCTCCCCTTTAAATCTTGGAATAGAGGTTTCAAACATCGTCAAAGACAAAGAACATGACCTCATCAAGACTCAGAAGAAGTTGAAAGAGCATGGTTACGGAGTTGACAACAACAAAGCTGGACTTAGCTTCACACCAAATACGCTCATGAAGATTTCAAGAAAAGAGAAAAACACTAAAGCTCAGCACATTAGTGTGAACGTTGAAAAAAAGTCAAGATGAGCCTAAACCCGCATCTCGAACACCAGTTTTTAATAGGCTGAATCGTTCAAAACCCAGAATTTCAGCATTTGATCGCATTGGTGATCAAGCCCGAACCTCTGTCTTTAAAAGGCTTAACATGCCAACACCTTAAAGCTCTGCTTTCGAAAGGTTGTCAAAACCCAAGAAAAAAAGCAACATGGCTAGCTCTCATCCATGATGGTTGGCCTTGGAAAAACTTAAAGAAACCAAAAAGTCTTTTAGAAAGAGAAAGATAGTGCCAAAGGAGGAAAAGCTCGACAGTCTAGCAGAAAAAGACGACGTTCGAAGCTCAATTCCTTCAAGGATGAAACGCCAAGCAACCTTGAAGGTTGACACAAAAGGACCATTGAAGGTAAGAAGGCGCACCATCATCCATACTGGCCAATCTTCACGCCAACAAGCCTAAGAAGATGGCACTAAAGATGAGGTCCAAGACGTCTTCCACATCACGATCTAAGAAGACAAAGAATAAGAAATCCCCGATGAGGACGTCACTGTTGCGCCACCACAACTCGAAGACGGAGGGCAAGACACGATTGATAATCTCAAGGAGCTTAATCTAGGCACAAGCGATGGGCCAAAACCTATCTTCGTAAATGCACTACTAAGTGCAAATAAGATCGATGAGTACTACCAACTGCTCTTGGAGCACAAAGATGTCTTTGCTTGAACCTATAAGGAAATGTCGGCCTTGACCATACCATTTCCATACATCATCTGGCAGTCAAGCCTGGAACGCAACCGATAAAGCAAACTCAAAGACGCTATTAATCTGAACTTATCCCACAAATTGAGGCCAAGATCGATAAGTTAATCGAAGTAGGCTTCATTTGAGAGGTACAATACCCTAAGTTGATCTCTAACATTGTCATTGTCTTTAAAAAATTTGGACAAATACGTGCTTATGTAGACTTCCGAGACCTCAACGATGTTTGCCCAAATGAAGACTTTCCCTTACCAATCATTAAAATCATGGTGGACGCGACCACTGGCCATGAAGCGTTATCATTCATGGATGACACATCTGGGTACAATCAAATTCGTATGGCTCCCGAAGACGAGGAACTAACAGCTTTCCGCACCCCAAAAGGTATCTACTACTACAAGGTAATGCCCTTTGGTTTAAAAAACGTTAGAGCCACATATCAGCGCGCCATGCAAAAGATCTTCAACGACATGCTACACATAGAATGTTACGTAGATGATGTAGTTGTCAAGACCAAGAAGAGATCCGATCATTTGAAGGATTTACGAATGGTGTTCGACAAACTACGATACTACAACCTCAAGCTGAACCCGTTAAAATGTGCATTTGGCATCACCTCTGGGAAGTTCCTTGGCTTTATTGTCAAGCACCGTGGCATTGATGTAGACCAATCAAAGATTAAGGCCATTTAAAGCATGCCTAAGCCAAGGAATCTACACGAGTTAAAAAGTCTATAAGGATGGCTTGCCTTCATAAGACGCTTCATCTCCAACCTCGCAGGACCCTATCAACCCTTTAGTCAACTTGTGAAGAATGACCCTCCATTCATATGGGATGACGCTTGCCGCAATGCTTTCGAAAGCATAAAAAGTTGCCAAAGCTGACCCAGTCAAATACGCCATGTCCAAGCCAATTTTGATGGGGCGACTAGCAAAATGGGCGTTGCATCTCAATTAATATGAAATCATCCACATTCCAGCTAAAGTCATTAAGGGACAAACACTAGCAGACTTCCTTGTCGATCATCAAATCCCAACCGATTGGAAAATCTAAAATGACTTGCTTGACGAGGAGGTGTTCTACGTCGACATCTTCCTGATATGGACAAT